AAAATCAAAAATAAATATTAATCTACATCCTACTTATATATATAAAACTGTACACTGGGAGATTAGGATTAAATGTCACATAAGAAGGGAATTTAAGATCTGTAGTAAAAAAGAATTCTATAGAGAAAGTGAGACTTTTAGGATTAAGTATCGTATAAGAATTAAGGAATCGTATTAGGATTAAGTATAAGAAGGGAAAGGGGGAGGGAATTTAAGCTCTATAATAGGAAACGATTCTTAGAGAGAGAAAGCGAGACATTTTTATTCACGTCGGTCGTAACGAACGTCAAAGGAATTCTCGTTGCGTGTATTTGCGAGACGTATTGTAGAGGGCTTGTGTGCCTGTCCGGCAGTAAAACTATTCCCGAGCTGCGAGACGCTGCGACGAATATGGCGTTCGTTTCCTGTGCACGGGCTTTATTTATTGCACGATGAAACGCACGGTTACGGATGCGGACCATCGAACGCGCGGATGGCGAGTGACTTCTCCTCCTCCTTCCCTCCTCCTCTCCTTCTTCTCTTTCTCTATCCGATGACCTGCCCCGAGGAATCGCACCTTAAACTTCCCTTTAATCGCTCCGCTAATCTCGAGCGAAGCCGGTCGACTCGAGAGTTACTCTCGTGAAGCAGAGATTTTACAAGCGATCGTATCAGCTTTCAGAGAATTCTATCGATCCTCTATTAACATGGCTTCGTTTATTAACCCGCGCGTCATACGAGGCAGGTTTCTTGTGTTTCGCGATCCATAATTTTCTTTCACTCGGTGATTTTTAAACCGTCGAATGTGTATTAGTCATCTTCTCGTCTCTTTATGCTTTTCTCTGAAGAAAAAAATTCCGCTTTTATATTATCTTATCGTTCTTTAAAAATACTTTATTTTTATCGAATATTATTAGGAGAAATTATATTTTTCTCGCTCTTTCTGTCGCGGATTTAATTCTATCGTTCATTAAACATTTTTCAATCAATATTATATAAGGTATTGGCAAATTTAATCGACTTTTTTTATTCGAATATTCTTGCGAATGTATTTATATGTGGGTGTTTACGACAATTAATCGGACTTTGATCGGACTGAACAGTGGTATTCAGCGATAGACTTTCTAAATTTCCCTAGACTAATCCGGATCAATGATGTGTCTCTGAAGTAATCGAATTAGATTAACAACTTATTCGTATTTTATAGAAAACATCTTATTCCAGTAAAATACGTTCGTTTATTAATATATATTTGATAAATAAAGATATATTAATTAAAAGAATAATAAAGTATCTTCTATAATTTCTTATCGTTTTTCACAATTTTTTCGATCAGCTCGGCCGCAATTTCTTTCGATGACTGTTAATCTAATTCGATTACTTCAGAGACACATCATTGATCCGGATTAGTCTAGGGAAATTGGAAGTCTATCGCTGAGTACCACTGCTCAGTCCGATCAGAGATCCGATTAATTGTCGTAAACACCCTGTATTAATATTTGCAAATGTTTGATTTTTACATGATTTGTAAAACGTAATTCTCCTTTGTACCGTTAATCTTGAAAGTGTCTACGGAAATCCGTGCTAATGAACAACTGATATGTGACTATGCTACTGACCTTCTTACCAACGATCACGTTTGGCACTTGTCCAAAAAGAGTCTCGTTAGTTCGGCCCAGCTTGTTAAAGAAAAGTGTTTCTGCGATAGAGACTCGCAAAAAGATTGCCGAAGAAAAGCTGCACATTTATTAGACGAACGTATCAAATTGGCATGAAAAGAACTTCTGTCAATTAGATTTCATAAAGATAAAAATATATCAACCCGTAAAATTTGGGGGAAAACACATTTATAATGCAAATTTATATCGCTGCGGAATTTAAATTTCCGGAAGCAGGTGTCTTTACGGGTATTCATTACGTATTTATTTTCAATGTCACAGCCTAAAGATCCCGTAGAATGATTCGCGAACGATCATTCCGAAAGTAAATGCACCGATGGTGTTTATTAGCGTTGCCGGATAAGAAAAGCGATCTTATCTCGCGCGCGCGCGATCTCGTCTCGATCGTTTCCGTCGATTAATGTACTGGAAACTAAGCGCCTAATTTAAGGCGTGTCGTTGCAACTCCTCCTTTTCTAACGTCCAGGAGCGGACGAGCGCGTGCAACATGTAACGAGCGCTGTAAATGTGCATTAAGATCCTATGCAACGCGCGTGCAAGCTGTGCAATTAGCCGCCGTGAATCTCTCGCGCATTACACGTCCCGATTTCTACGTCTTCGTATCTCTGAAGTGTTCACGAAAATGTAGATCGTTCAATTTCTTGCATAAATATCGCGATTCCTTTCGTCCTAAAGCCTCTGCAAAGCATGTAATGTTTCTGTATATTATAAATTTTTGAGACGAATATTTTAATATTTGTATTAAATAGAATTATTTAGAGTGCATAGTTCTAGAGAAAACTTGGAAGATCTGGAATTCTTAGAGATTTTTGTTTTACTCTGAAAAATCACGGAATTCTCATTTTTATGGAATTTTATGATTTTATATTTGAGACTCGGAAAATTTTTTTAAAATTGCTCCTTTGATAATTTTTTTTATATTATAAATGATCAGCAATCTATTAGTATTATTATTAAAACTCTCACCAGTATCAGGATATTATTCAATATATAAATATTTATTTTAAAAGATGTATTTAATAAAAAATTTGAAATTCTGAGTTTAAAATTTATTAAAATATTTCATATTTATATTAGAGTGCATAAAGTTTACGTATAATAAATAAACTTATTTTAAAATTATATTTATATACAAATACTTTAATAATTTTATCTGGAATTATGAACATAAATACCTGGAAAATCATGGAGTGTTCTCAGGAAATACATTTATAATATTTAAGTATATACTCTGTTATTGATTTATATGCAGAGTTACGATAAAGAAACAGTTTTAATAAAGTAAAAAATAATTTCTACTTTTAAAGAATTTAAAATAAAAATATTAATTTATTAAAAACTATTTAATAAACTAATAATTTAAAGAATATAAAACGCGAAATAGATTAACAAATAATATTTAACGATATGAAAATAAATTATGTTATTTTAACTTAAAATGATTATCAATAAACTTGTGATATCCTATGATCTTGAGATCGACCGATTCAGATGTTTAGTCACGACGATTTGCTCGAGGATTTTCCGGGATATTTTCATTATAATATTGAATGAGACGAAGAAAGAGACATCTTGAAACGAGAACTCGGTTCTCCCTACGCGCCTTAACGGACTCCTTTTAGAGTAATTACGACGACCGTGACACATACTCAGAAAACGATTAATGTTGCGAATAAGGTGAGTAGAGTCTCACTTGTAGTGACTTTTGCGTGCGTAAAAAAAATAAGTAGGATGCTTTTACTATGCACATATATTATCGTTGTTATTAGATAATATGTCGTTCTGTGCGTTCTATTTTATTAACTCGAAAACACTGTTGAGTCTTCCTCAAAAGGAAAAGTGCCACGATGGCATTTTACGTAATCATAACATATGCGATGTTCCGTACTCTGTGGGACTCGTATTTTTAAAAAATATTAATCGGTGAAAGCGACGCGCGTATCTGACTTGGCGAGGCAGATAATCGAAACCGTTTTAAGTTTCGAAACCGCAAACTGCAAATAGGGAAATGTGCCCACGTGGGCGTCGAGACGAAAGCGAAACACGAAGCCTCGTGCGAACGGAAACATTTTTAGACGTATTTATGTTACTTAATTATTACAACACGTATATTTAAATATTCTTCAACTTATCAATTTTGCCGTGTGAAATATTTATTAAAATTTTTTCCCCTAATATTTTCAGATATTTCAGTTTTCTAAATATTGTCGAAAGTCCTAGATACATTGTACTTTGGTAAAGTACTTAAAGAATGCCTTTATAAGGCATTTGTCGTCCGTAAAAGACGGAGGCGTCTCCGGAGCATGAGATAGGTTGCGTTATATGCGTCTCTGCCTTTATACAACACTTACAACTCGTGTCCTTCGTTAGAGAACGAGTAACCCAATGCCTCGTGAGAAAATGAATCCGCGTTATGCGACAGTCGTGTATTGTTTCGTACTCATTGTCAGATGCTTTTCACGAAAGAAAACGCTCTCGAGCGCTTTCCATGATCAAAACTCCTCATTCTTAGCCGCTGTAGCTCTTACCGTATCGTTTTTAGGAAAGTTTCTGGAAAGCATGGAAAGTTTCCCGACTCATACAAACGTTTACTCGTTTATGAAATTTTCCATAAATTTTCGTCAAAAGGTATTATTTTGGCGTATCTCGTTGGGAGAATTATTTCGTTAAACTTTACGTTTATTTCTTTAAAGAGACCAAGATATTTTATGTTTTGCGCGTATTTATTCTCTCTGTATTTATAATATGTTTAAGCTGTTGAAGCTATGAATGTTCCTAATTACCGCAGTTATTATCTTGCCGAGGTCATAATTCTCAGGGCAAAGAGAAAATTATTCACCGTAACGTCACGCATCTGTCGCTACTTTCGTTAATAAAAATGTTTTAATGATATTAAAATTGATTTTCAAGCTTCATCAGAATTAATAGATAATAATATCAGAAATCAATAAAAACGACACAAATAATTTTTACTTTAACGGTATATTCGATTTATTATTCAAAGAGCCGAATATAAAATTAATATATTATATATACGTGAAATTAGAAAAGATTACAATTTATCGTATTTCTAAATTTTTTTAAAAATATCAAAAAATAATTATTGAGAAAAGAGAGAAAGTATATGTATTTTAATTCCTTCCCACGCGCGGGTTACAAGTAACGTGACATTTGAGGGTGAGAATTAATTATCACGTTTAGACTTAGGGGTTTCGCTGTCTCTTGATTCGCCACTGCGTGCGTGTGTGCGTGCGTGCGTGTTTATTTGTGCGTGTGTTTGTGTGTGCGTCCATGGATATGAAACGCAGCAGCTGACTCAGTCGTGCGATTACAGAGTGCCGTCTACGTCCGCGCTCGGCGGAATCAAAAGCCGCGCACGATTCGCTCGCTAGTGCGGTTTTGTGCTCGGAACCGACCGAGTGTTGGTCCCTGCGATTGTGTGCTCTCCCCGGAGAGCGGACATCGTCAATCGATTACCGCAATTACACTTGACGCGCCGCGACCTGCACTTCGCTCGTACCCCAGTGAATTTCGAGCGCGTAGCAGGATGATTGACGAGGATGTCACTAAAGGGAAAGCTTGGACACGAGTTCGGGGTGAAGTTTGAAAAAGGAAAACAATTTTGTTGAAGCAGTAAGACGCTGAAGGATGACACGGAAAATAGATCGAATGGAGATATAATGGATTATATAGTGGAAGGAATTGTCTTTATTTTTCTCGAGGATTTTCTTACGGAAAGTAAACACGAAAATAAATTAACCGGTGAATTTTGCACGCATCGTAAAATGATTTGTTCGACAATTTTACAAACTATCTAGCGAGTAAATTTTTCTCCAGTAGAGCAATTGCGTGGGTCTCGCGCAGAGTGATTCATCATCCTGGGAGTGCGTATTGATCGCGATTCTCGCGTTGCCTCTATTTTAGGGATCTATAGTCGCGGTATAATGCAAGTCATAGAATGTCTCATGATTCCGCCATTATCTGTCCGTGACGTAAAAAAAAATCTCACTGGATCGCGCGAAGACAAAAGGACCTCTCGTCAGCTTCCCACGAAAGCGTCAGAATTCCATCGCCGACGATCGAAGACAGATGTTGGCCCCGTGCCACGCGAGGGAATCGTCCGGATTCGTTCTTATCAGAAAGAAGAAGAAGGGAAACGATGCAGCTGCATCTGAGTATTCGCCGATCGTTACTTCTCCCGCGTTCTAGATTATCAACGAGGAGAATATCGAGGAGCGGAGCGTAAAACGTAACGAAATCCGACGAAACGAGGAGAGTATCGTGTAAGCGCTCTCCGCAAAGTCGGTCGCCGAAATTAAACTCATTCGCCGCGCTCTTCTCTCTCGGACGCCTCTCTCCCGGAAGCGGATGCCGCGCATATCGAAGTTTCACGAAAAGGGACCGAGAGCACCGAGCACTGTTACAAAGCTGTGACAATTAAGCGAGCGAAATGGTGTCGAGAAACGTGCCGACACAAAGCGTCGTGATCGACGTATCACTTGTCCGCGACATAATTTCATTGACGCGGGATCAGATTTGACGTTTGTCGGCGAATCTGAATAAATCGGAAAAAAATCTTTTTCCGCTAAAAAATTGTAATTGGAATCTTCGACGTTAATTTGAAACGCGAGGAATTTTTCTCGCGAGGACCTTGTTGCCTGAGGAAAGGCGAGGATGGCAAGCGAGGTGATGCTGGCACCCACGCTGACATCCATATGGGAGATGGACGACGTCAGGGATATGGTTAGAAGCGCGACCGTCACCACGATTTACGTAAGTCGTGTTCTCTCCATGCAATCGTACTCGTATACTGCGTCGTACAGGATGTGGGACTGCGTTCTTTGATTTGTCTCAATTTATGTTACGTAAAAAGTTCTCAATCCGACTAATAGAACGAATGTGCGTATTATATCTGCGGATACGAAACTGTCGTACATTTTGATTTAATATTATCGTAGCATAATTGTATCGTATATTTATTTCCGAAGATGATTCAAACCGCGGTTCAAGAATCCTTAAACACGTGCCGCCTTATCTGCGGTTTTGGAGAGATCCACGTGCATGAAATGTCAAAGCTCGCGCTTCGAATCGATCGGCGATAATTCTCGATTCGATAACGCGCGTTTATTATACTTGCTCTCGGCGTAACAGAGGACAATAGTGTCAAGGACAAGATTTCACTCTCGGACCATCAAATGGTCGTCACGGTCGATGAACAGCGACAGAGAGAAAAGTTCCTCGGAAAGGAGTCCCAAGTTTGCGATCCTAAGAACGAGACACGATCTTGGTCTTTCTCTTTCTTGCATGTCAATTAAATTCTTATCGCAGGAAAACAACGCGGAATGAGGCATCGCGAATAGAATAGAAGCCGCTTCTTTATTAATTACATGCCGATATCTTTTCGATCGAATCACGGAAGAACGAGAACATTATAATGCGGCTTCCGCGGATTGCAATTTTGCGACACGCTCTGGCGGCTTCCCGCCACGCTGGAAATGTTGTCGACTCGTTGCACAACTAATTAATAGGTCGATCGCGTATGCGAAGCCATTCGCTCGCGCGTGATTTTATAGTTGCGCGTGAATCAATCGCTAACAATAATTTATGCCAAGTATTTTAAAGTTAGGCATCCATTAAAGCTACTTAATAATTTGCATTATAATATTATCATAATACTTGGGGAAATTTGAAATAATTCGTCATCATTTGCGTATAATGTGAATGAACAATTTTTTTTCCTTTTTTAAATTCAATTTTCTTTTTAAGTTTTTAAATTTAAATTTAATTTCAATTTTTCTGTATCGATTAGAAATTTCTAAAGCAAGTTGGCACATAGCTTTGTCCTTCTTTTCCGTTCGCGCTTTCGAGTTCAGTCGATTAATGTCGGGCGTGGATTGTCAAAGTCGCGTAGGTTGCCACGGAATGACACCCGACTGCCCACTTGACGTATAATTCACTTTTGCAATCGCAATGTTTCGATAAATTGGTCTCTGGACGTGAAATTGTAGTAAATTCTTCGTTCGCGTAAATTAAATAACATGCGTTATATATGGATATTTCAGTACTTTTTTGCTTGACGAATTTTCCTATTTACCTAGAATAAAGATACGTTTTGTTTCTCTTTATATTTAAAAAATTTTGAATCTTATTTCATAGACTTGTAATTCCGCATTTATTAGAATTCGTTTATAATGTGAATGTAATAAAATGTGGTGATGTCATATATAATCTAAGTGGGGCAATTTTTTAAAGTGCGTTTGCCAATTACCTTGTCTCGCACGAAATTAGGTCGTTGAAATAAATATCAAAGATATAGTTCATCAAGTTCAAAGTATGTCCAAGTAAGTTCTAGCGGCGAAGTCATTTTCCGTGTTTTACGCCATGCTAAGATGAACTATTAATTCCATTTCCAAGTTTTGACATTTTATCGCAGTTTAAGATTTCCACTTATTGTTGGAAGAAACTTGATGCAAAAATTATAATTAAAAAATTATTCAAATTTGTTGGACAAATTGCAATATACGTAGTCATGTTTTTAATGTATTTTATTCGATAATAAGAAAACTGAAAATACTAATAATTATATACACTAAGAAAAAAAATTGTAAACTTGACTAAATATTTTCAACGAATTATTATCTTTTAATTGAAATATTTAAATATTTAAATTAAAAAGATATGTTAGATTTAATTAAAATACATATTTAATTACATATTTTAGATTTAATTTAAACACATATTAAATACATATTCAATATTTAATTTAGATACTTAAATATTTCAATCAACAAAATAATTAGTTGAAAACCTATTTAGTTAAGTTTACAATTTTTTTTCTCAGTGTAATAATAAAATAATAAAAAAAAGAATTAGAAAATAAAAATCTTTACAATAGTTTATCGCGTCAAATGTGGGATTAAAGACATGTAAAAAAAAATGGACCGTGTAAGAGGTGTCTTTCTTTCCTCCTCTTATTCTCTCCGCCGGCTTTATGACGTTCGTGGGCGGACTGAAACGTGAAAAGCAAACGATTCCGTATTTGGTGGTGTTGTCGTTGTGCGTGATTCTGAGAGCCGCAAAAAAAAAACAGAACAATGACGTGAACAATAATTCATAGCGTTTCGATCAACGGATCAAAAAAGAGCGTGCTATTGAAAATCGCGGCAAAAGAATGAAAAAAATAATGAATCAAGCGCGATTTTTCGACGGTCTTTTTCCGACCGACTCTTTCGAGTTTTCTCTCGAGTCACATATATTCTTCCATTCCCCTTCGAATCATGGAATCTTTGCGGAATCTTGACGACGGCGAACGAGAGGCAGTAGGTGATTCACTCGAAAAGTAATTAGTAATTCAGCAGCGCGTTAAATCATTTCCCGGGTACACGTTGGGACCGTTAAAGTCTGCAACTCGAGCGCACGAAAACTGTTAAGATACCGCAGATGGTGCAGTGTGATGTATTGTCAGCATTATTACTTACTGAAAAAGACCTCGACAGTCTTTTAATCTCTATCGTTTGGTACTATTACGTTTGACGCAGTGGACCATGTGCTTGTTACCCTGTATTGTACTAAATTGCTGCAAAATTGTGCTACATTATAACGAACGAAGGAGTAAATATTTTTTTTATTGTCCTCTCGTTAGCTTTTTATTCGAAACAGCGAGGAATAACTATAATTGATACCATTATCGAGTTGCTCGTATCATCGGTTACACCCCACTTTATCGCTCCAACCAATCGATGGAACGCATTTCCCCTCTGATATCCAACCAGAAAATAACGCCATCAGGAATAAACATGCTGATTCTTCGCCGGTTGATAAATTGCAGGAAAATTTCTATCATGATACGGCAAATTGCATAATTCCGAATAAAACCTAGTTCACTGTAGATACACATTTTCTCTCTACGTAGAGAGATGTAAAGCGTGCTGCAATTTAATTTAGACATATTAAATTACCCTCTGAACTTTGCTCCGAAATCCTGTCTCCTGTCGCGCATTACGTAAATTTGAGATGAGCTTATAAAACGACGCCTGTTTTCTCTGCGGTTTTATCGGATGACTGCAACTGGCTGGATTTTAAATTCTTGCCTTCGGCTTTTACCTGTACGCTGTGCATATTTGCGTGGGTGCGAGTGGGTGTGCAACACCGGTTCCCGATCGACTCGACGCGTTTTTTCTTCATGCTCGCGAGAGCGATAAATTTTCTGAGGGGGCGGATTGATTCCGAGGCGCTCTACTCTTTCGAATAATATTATTGCGATATTATTTAACTTTAATCGCTGAATTTAAATGGAACAAGAAATCAGAGAGACCTTTTTACGGAAAAATCTTGTCGCAGGGCTTTGAATTATTTCAGGTGATTTTGGGGAAGGATCATCATTTAAATGTCTTGATACATGATGAACAAAGTGTCGCACGAAGCGCGTAGTTTCAGAAGTTACCTCGACCGTATGCGAGATAATCTTATCTAGAGCCCTTGTCTTATCTGGAAAGACCATAATCGGCTCAGGATCCATCGCTTATGTATCTACCCCACTGTTTGCGCGGGTTTATCGCTGTCATCCGTAGCGAATATCCAAAGCGAACCGCATGTCACGCCATATTTGCATATCCATTCAAGGGGCGGCGTGATTATAGCACCGACCGCGCTATTGTTTGACCACGAAATGCATCCGCAACATTTTTTTTTTTTTATCGCGTGCTTTACCTTTGTTCGACGATGGCTGTCTCAAATGTAGGTAACCTTCGAGATAACTTTGTTCCGTTTTTTACAGACGCAGCAAAATGTACCCGTGCAATTATATAAATTCGCAATTTTTATATATTTACTATTGTACTTATACTTTAGTATAAACAGTCGAACAAAAACGCAAGTAATGCAGCTGCGCTGCAGCAGGAAGACTCTGCGGAAAACGTGATGCAAATGTAAATAGGCGCACCGCGATGACGACGGAAATACAGGGTGTGCCGTGACTGACGTTGCTCGTTGAAACGCTACCATTCGGTAAATTTTCAAGACGTCTTTGGACACGCCTGCTTTTACCTATATTTAAGTAATGCTTAAGTATACGTGTACATTATAAGGATATTTAAAAAGGAAGAGTAAAGTAAAGTATGTAATTTTTTTTTAAATAATCGCAATATGTATTTTAGAAGCATGCTTATTATTATTTCATGTGATAAATTTATTCATTCGGTGTCTTTGATTTTCTTTAGAAACATTTTATCTACAGGAGCATAATTATATAATTATATAATTACGTTAATCTAATTTGCTTGTTGGCTTGTATATTGCATTTTACATTCGCAAATATTTTACGTCGCATTGTACATTTTTGTATGAGAGTTAATTAAACTCGGTCGCAAGATTGATTAAAATTGAATTTTTAGATTAATCGCCGGTTAGGGAGATGACTCGACAAATTTCGGTTACTACGCCATAATTAATTTGCGAGGATTACCTATGAATGTTGCGAGCGCGAAAGTGGCAGAGATCTCACATAAATCATGAAGAGCTCGGGATTATAATTTGCAAAGTCGTAAGTGTATCTAATTCGTTTGTGAAATTCGCCAATTATAATAGCGATACTTGGCGTGCAAATGTACGAGGAACAATCGATTCATTTTTTTTTCGCGATTTCTCCTTTCTTATCCTTATCAAGAGGGGCAATTATTTTAATTAAAAGACCATTTTTAATATCATTTGTTTAATAACACATACGCAATTATTTGTTTTAAATATACGTTAGAGAATTACTCTTGGAAATGACT